GCTTCGGCCCGCACCCCGCTCCTTTTCTATTTCAGCAACGTCACCAGCTGGAGCGAGAAGGGCCTCAGCTACATCAAGCGGGAGGGGGGCCCTCTCCACAGGGCCCGCGTCATCGGGGTGGCCGAGCATCACCTGTCGGGCAAGAAATTAAATGAAAATAAGCAGAAGTTGTCCAAGCTGGGTTGGGCCACCAAGGCCATCCCCGCCGCAGCCGCGGCAGGTCAAGGAGTTCGTGGACACGGCGGGGTACGGCTACAGGTCCAGCAGCAGCTGGCTTGGAAGGGAGTTATCGACTACGGTCAGGAACGGGCACAATGGACGGCAGTGACGGTTCGCACAATGGGCATGGAAGTCATTTTCGTAGCAATGTATTTGGCAGTTGGCGCAGGCCTGGCAGGACCGAACATTGGCGCGATCAGCGGCATGGCCTCGTACGTGCGGGCCAAAGGCTTACCCTGCATCATCATGGCGGATTGGAATATGACGGAGGCAGAGACGGCAGGTTTTAACCTGCCCATTTTTCTCAGTGGAATATGGCGACGACCAGAATACCCACAACCAGGAGGCCACAGAGCAATTGACTACTGCCTGGTGTCGGATAAGATCAGTGGCCTGATCAAACTGTCATGGGACAAGGTGGGGCCATGGGCGGCGCCACGCTACGGCATAGTTGGGGAACTGCTCTGTGCGCCAGATTTTGTCATGCAGAGGATTCTGGTCCAACCAACGCCAGTGTTGGGCGCCGATGGACCAGGCCGCCCTTGGAGCTGCCACCTGCAGAGCGTGCGGGACAGGGCAGCCAATGGCATGGAGCACCCGCAGCTGCGGGACAAGGCGATGGACTCAGTCGACTGCGTGTACATGGAGTCCGCGCTGGCGGCGGAGGATCTGCTGCTCAGCAGGCAGCCTGACAGACGGCCTGAGGCCGACACGCACAGGGGTTTTTACCCTGAATCTCGCCTAGTGCCCCTGATAGCCGCGAAGCCCGCAGGGTGGCTGGCGCAAACAAACTCGCTCTCACACTGGTCTGGCCTGCAGGCGCGTTTGCACGCCCTGCTCGGCCTGAGGAAACAGGGGGGGGGGGGGGTCTAGTTTGATGGCGGGGGCGGCTGGGGCGATCGCGATCACAGTAGGAGACTTGCGCGCGCGGCCAGCAGTTTTAAAAGATGAGTCCGGCAATCATTTTATCAGCAAGCTCCATGGGAATTGGGGCATCCTCGGGGGCCTCGGAGAGGCGCAGCTGAAGGTTTGGTCCCAGAGGGTCGATGCAGCTGTGCGTCGCCTTGAGTCCTATTTTCTCCATGAGAACTCGCGCTGTTTCAAGGAATGGGTGCAGGCCAGTTTGAATGATGGAGCAGGGGCGGTCCACAGCCACGCCGAGCTCTGGGGGGCCCCAGAGCGAGGATTGCCTATGATTCAGGACCAGTGTGGACACACAATTTCGGACCCGCTCCAGAATATCCAAGCTAAATGAGAATTCTGGCTTAATTTTTGGGAAAGGGAAAGGGCCACCAAAAGAGCAGGCTTGGTGGAAGGACTTTCGCCGAGCCGCCAAGAAGCATAGCCTGGCCCTGGGCGCCATAACATGTGAAGAGGTTAGCGAGGGACTCAAGTGCTTTCGGCCAGTCATAGGAATGGGGGCGGATCGCACCAACCCCCGATGGTGGCGACAGCTCCCGCATGAAGGCCTCATCCACCTCACTTTCTCCCTCGACCTCGTGGAGAGAAATCTTTGCTGGCCAGAGCAGATTTGAGTCAACATAGTGCAGTTAATGTATAAGACCGAGGAGGCAGACAGGCCAATACCTTTATCCCAAGCGCCATACAGAGTATGGTCGCGCATTCGCAGATGGCATGTAGCAGACTGGTCGGAAAAGCATGTGCAGTTCTGGGATAAAGCAGTTGCTGGATCCAGCTGTCTCAGAGCGGCCCTCCTCAGGCAGACTAGGTTGGAGGTGGCCTCTCTGCAGGGTTTTGCCTGGTGGGAAGTGTTGTGGGATCTTGAGAAATTCAACGACACCCTAGATCCCGAACAACTCTGGCAGGCAGGTGCAGCAGTCGGGCACCCACTGACCCACCTTTTCATCGGCCTCAGCCTCCATTTTGGGCCCCGTAGGTGCCGAGGGAATGGGGTGGTCTCGGATCCCCTGCAGGCTTTCAGAGGCATCTTGGCAGGATGTTCCCTGAGTGTCGACATTTCGCGTCTGGCCTTATGGCAGATGCTCAGTGAGATGCAAGCTTCTTTTAGGCCAGTCGAAGTCCAGAGCTGGGTCGATGACATCACGCAGTCCGCCATAGGTGAAGAGAGCGTTGTAGTGGAATGCACGGCAGCTGCAGTGAGGTTTTTTGTCCAGCGCTGCGCCTCCCTGGGGCTTACCATCTCGGTCAAAAGCAAGGTGGTTTCGAATCCCCCTAGGGTCGCGGCGGCCATCAGGGCCAGGCTTCAGGAAGACAGGATAGTTTTGAAACAGAGTCAAGTCGTCAAGGACCTCGGGATCGA